GCCCGCGCCGAGTTTGCCAAGAGTCGGAACTGCGGGAGGTGGGAGCAGGCAGGTCTCCGCACCCTGCGGGGCCTTGGGGGTCATTGTCTTCCCAGAAGCCGGACGCCGGCCCAGTCTCCATTTTAATCACGGGCCGAACCCGGGCACAGGGCCCTGGCGCCGGGCGGCAAGGGGCGCGCAGAGAAGACGCGGCGCGCGGAGCGCACGGGGAGCGCGGAGGGAGAGGGGTCCGCTGCGAGCCGCGTCTTTGTTTCCCTGTAAATAGACATGTCAGTTTCACCGGGTAGCGCAAGACAGTGTCTGACAACTCAATCCCAAGGGCAAATGGGGAATTTTCTGCGCCAGAGGGAGGGCTCTGGCCAATTGGGGTTCCCCCGTTCCTCCAAGAATTTCACTGTTTGAAAGATTAAAAGGAACTATATACAATAGGGCTGGACTGTGGAGCCCGAGGGCAAGCCAAATGGGGCGCAGAACAGGTAATTTCTTACATCGAAGAAATATAAACAAAAGAAAGTTTGACTGAGATTCTTAGGGAATTTCAGTGGCATTGGCGCTACAATCTCAGCGGAGCTCTTGGCGAGGGTTATACTGGCAAGATTGTTATCTGCATTGTTTAAAGAAATGCTAATTAGGAAACGGTTCACTAGCAGCCGGTGCGGACACCTGTGCTTGGAGTGCTCCTGTGCCTCAGAGTGGTATAGTTGCAGAGTGTTTCCCGAAGGCTGTGTCGTCGAGGCTAACTTTCCGTGTTTGGTAACACTGGTGGATCCACTCTGTTGCTGGCCTTCGCTTTACCAGTGTAAGGCAGTATTTCCACTCAGCAAGAGTGGAAAATAGTTTGTTCATCAAAAGGAGACATATAGACGCAAACGGTAGTATTTTATCATAGGATTCTTACATTTGTTATAACTTTGTGATAGTATTAGATATTTTGAAAACTTTGAGGTCCCAGTCTTGTTATTACCGAAAAGATCAGGTGAAAAATGGGAATATTTAGGCGAAAGCTTTTTAGATACAAGTAGGAATTTAACACTGTGTCCCCTAAAAAGCTTGTGATTGTTTCCATATCCTTTACTGAAGGGAAGAGGGGTTATTGTGGATTTCTCTTAAGAGTAGTGGAATACCTCACTGGAATGTCTAGAAATCCAAAATTCAATGTTGCCTCAGGCCTGCCTGGGGACAGCATTTAATTAAGCCTCTCACTGACAGTATCCTGCATGTAAGAGTTTTGTTTTTCGTAGAGAACTTTTGTTCAGGTTTAGCTGCTTTTGCCAGAACATAGGTTGTCCTGGTACTCAGGCTTCAGTCCCCTCCCCTTTCTGACTGGGACTGGTTGGCTGTTACATGGGGGCACTTGTCCCCTTGACATTGTATCCCCACTTGAATCATACCGGGGTCAGGTTGTCCCATGGCCTGTGGCTTCCCAGGTCCCTTGGTCACAAGTAGCACAGACATTAAGGCAAACCAGGTACAGTGGTAGCACTGCTCCACAGGTGCAGAGAAACGCCACAAAGCATGGACACTGGTTATTGTCTGGAGATGTTTTATTTACAAACACTGTTAAACCGAATTAAATGTCAATAGTGAACTTCCCAGCACTGTCCTTATGTGGGGTTCTTCAAATTAGGGAAATTGGGCCACTCTGTCCCTGTGGTCTGTGTTTCTGGGGCGGCTGCTCAGCTGTGGTGCTCTGTGCTTCATCAGAGGTCTTAGACCAGCCTCCAGGAACTTAGGAACCCACTTAGTGCATGGTGCTTAGAGTGCACCACCAGCTGGGGAATTTGAGCTGACTCTCTCACGTGCCACCACTTTCTGTGCTCAGGCGCCCTCTTAGCTGCTGGTATGAGAGGAAAGTTCTAGAAACCATTGCTCCCTTACATGCCCACACTAGTGTTCCAGCACTTACTTTGGGAAATTCTGTTTGGGGGACTGTATCTTCTTGCCCAACTATTGTTCTCATAAAAAATGTGGACTTGGGCTGGGGATGTGGCTCAAGCGGTAGCGCGCTGGCCTGGCATGCGTGCGGCCCGGGTTCGATCCTCAGCACCACATACCAACAAAGATGTTGTGTCCACCGAGAACTAAAAAATAAATATTAAAAATTCTCTCTCTCTCTCTCTCTCTCTCCTCTCTCTCACTCTATCTTTAAAAAAAAAAAATGTGGGCTTTATCCTCTGCTCTGATGTGTGTGCTTTACCATAAGTTCTCTGGAGTGATGCAGATTCTTAGTTCCCCTGAGACTCTGTGCCTTTCTGTGGGGGAAGAAAGAAGATCCCTGTGGTCGCTGGAGTTTCTGAGTCGCTGCACCCCAGGAAGAAGTGGAAGATGCAATAGCATCATGATCAAGGCCACAGACTTAGGTCTTTGACGTCTTTGAAATACGTCCTCTTGTTCCAGTCTTGGTTTCCTGCCTCTGGCTGCAGCTCTGGTTTTGGCATGGCTGGAGCTTGTGCGGAGCCTTGGGACTGAGACTGCAACCTATGGGTCTCCTCCCTTTTGGCGGTTCTCAGACACTTTGCCTGCTTTTGCACTCTCAGGTGGTACTGTGGTTTGCTAGTGGTGGGAGAATGTACCTGACCATGTTGCTTGTAGGTGGAAAGTGGAAAGCCCTTTCTAACAGATGAGTTCTTCTATGCAGGGTTAAAACTAGCAGGTTCCTCAGATTTGATCTGAGTCTGACTTTTGTAGGATTTTCTGTTGGATGTTGAAATCAGCAGTACCATTTAACTCTAACTTAGATTTTAAAATTACTATGTTGTGTTTTTGGGGTGTTTAATTTTTTCCCTCTGGTGCTTGGGATGGAACCCAGGGCCTTGGGCATGTTAGGCAACATGACTTGGATTAAACTGGGCCTTGGGGGATGGCTGAGAACCTCAGTGTATTTTTCAGCAGCACTGACAGCGCTTTTTGTGTTTCCACAGATGTACCTTTGAGCTGTGTTAGAGATACCCAGGGTTTTCCTGACCACTCCTTGGGGTTCTTGAGGTCCTGCTGTGCACCAGCCTTCAGGTCGGGTTGGGGACAGAGTGCCAGTGGTCTGTGGGCATACGGCAGGGGGCACTTAGGGACCACTGATGTGATGTGGTCAAAGAGGTGGGAGAGAGCCACCTTGAGGACTGGAAAAGGATAGAGTGGACACAGACTGTAGGGTGTGGAGGGGCATGTGTCTGTCCAAGGCACCTGAGCCAGGGCTCCAGAGAACTGCATCTGACATGTTTTATGAGTGTGGTCTGCCCATGAGGGCAGGCTGGAGGGGGCAGCTGTGGGGGTGGCATGAGAAGGGATGTGTTCTCCACTGCACCATTCAGAGCTCTTGCTGCAGCCCACAGTCCCTTCCCATGAGTCATACTGGGAGACCCCTCATCCTTTTTGGAGAGCTTGCAGAAGCAGTTCCTTCCCTGCCTAGAGCTGGGTGCTCAGGTGCCCCAGATGGGCCCAGTTTTTCTTGCTTTCCCTGTCTGCTTGTGGCTCTCTGATTTGCTAACACCTCTGTCTTTCCAGCTGCCTGCAGGTCGCAAATGATCCATGAGTGTGTGTGTGAAAGATGGGTTTTTTAAAATGTCTTAATTTGCACAAAAGTTGGACAGCGTCACTGCTTTTATGGGACACAGATCGACTTCTGTTTATGAGACAGTTTTGTTTCATTCATGGCTTTATCTCTCTCCTTCCAACCACTGCAAGAAACGAGGCCTCTCTCTCTTAGTGGGAACCCTCTCCTTCACCAGCAGCGTTCAGGTGTGCAGGGGTCTCTGTAGAGGTTTGCAACAAGGCACCGCCTGCATCTTGGGCTGGGATGGCAGGCGCAGGTCTGTGTGCTGAGACAGGCCCTGCCTCTCGTAGGTCTGTCAGATGCATACCTAA